AAAAACCCTTTTTTATTTTTATTTTTTAAAAATATTTTATTTGACAGAGAGACACAGAAAGAGAGGGAACGCAAGCAGGGGGAGTGGGAGAGGGAGAAGCAGGCTTCCCGCCAAGCAGGGAGCCCGATGTGGGGCTCAATCCCAGGACCCCGGGATCATGACCCGAGCCAAAGCAGACGCTTAACGACTGAGCCACCCAGGCGCCCCCCAAAACCCCTTTTTAAATTAGTAGATATTTCCCTACATATGGTTTGAACTAAGTCCCATACGGCTCCCACTACAGAAAAATGTGGCAAAACTAAATTCACAAGACCTCATTCTGCCAGGGTCTATTTGGTCCACACAAATCTAACATGGACCGCCCAGAAATTCAAACCAGACAAGAGTAACAACTACAGCTGATGAGGGCCTCCTTCTCAGGCTTCCTTCCCACACAAGCCTCTCTCCCAGTCCCCAGGAGAGCAAGGACCAATTCAGTTGTGCAGACTTTTCCCAGAGTACTACTATTCCTTCAGATTTCTGGCATGAAAGGACACCATAGTTTTCTAATAGTTTAAGGGAAGATAGTTTATTTCTGTTATTTTGATACAATATCACCAAGTTGTTTCAATGAGAAAAGTTTCAACATTGTATGAACAATGGATGATAATTTATGTGAGAGGAGATGGGCTTATTCTCCACATTGGCTACTCAGCTATAAAATGAATTTAAGGAAGCACTTAGTGATTAGGTACAAAGTTCTAGGGCATTAATAGCAAGCAGCGGGGCGCCTGGGTGGCTCAGTCGGTTAAGCAGCTGCCTTTGGCTCAGGTCATGATCCCAGGGTCCTGGGATGGAGCCCCTGCTCAGCGGGGAGTCTGCTTCTCCTTCTCCCTCTGCGCCCCTGCCCCCGCTCTTGGGCATGCTCTCTTTCTCTCTCTCTCAAACAAAATTAAAAAAAAAAAAAAAAGAGGGATGTCAAAACATAGAGGTACCCAACACACTATGGAATTCTAGGAAAAATCTTGTCTAAATAAAACAAGATCCAGGAGTAGCTAAGTACTAAATAAACAGTGAATTAAACAGTGATGCCAAATTTGAGCATATGTAAAATAGATTTTTAAAAGATACATTGGTGCCACCTTTTGGCCAGATGAAAAATTTACACGAATTATAACCTATGATCACATTTTAATTTCACAAAAAGATCTTGTTAGAGACACAGTTGTTAAATTCAAACAGTATGTGAATAGATTTAAAACTTCCTTGCTGCTTAATACAGTTGATTTTTAATCCTATTTTTTATTTTTTAAGAGCTGGAATAGAAGATAATACAAATAGAGTTTAATTCTGAACTAACCCATCTCATACTCTGTATGTACTCCTTTAGCTCTTGACAACCATCACAAAACTTATTTTAAGCTTTTGGACCAGGATTAGTCAACTTTAGCACTACTGATGTTTTGGGCTGGATAATTCTTTATTGTGGGCGGGGGGGGGGGACTGTCTCCTGCACTGTGAGATGTTTAGCAGCATCCCTAACCTCTACCCACTAGATGCCAGTAGCAACATCCCCCCCCAACCCACCCAGTTGTGCCAACTGAAAACATCTGTGTTACAAAATGTCCCTATGGTGAGAAGGACCACCCTGTGTATGGTTAAATGTCACCTGGCCACGGGTGCTCAGATATTTGGATAAACATTCTGGGTGTGGCTGTGAAGGTGTTTTTGGATGAGATAAACATTTGTTTGAATCAGTAGACTGAATAAAGCAGATTGCCCTCCCTAAAGTGAGTGGCCCTCATCCAATCAGTGGAAGGCCTGAATAGAACAAAAAGGCTGACCCTCTGAGAGCAAAGGGAACTTTTCCGGCCCTTGTGAGTCTTGAGCCTACTGGCTTTTGGACTGGAATTACACCATCAGCTCTCTTGGGTCTCCAGCTTGCCAGCTGTAGATCTTGGGACATCTCAGCCTCCATATTTGTGAGCCAATTCCCTAAAATCAATCCACCTCTCTCTCTGTGCACATACACGCTGTTGGTTGTTTCTCTGGAGAACACTGACTAATACATGCTGGTTGAGAACCACTGTTGTTGATTACATTACAAGAGAAAATACAGTAAATAGGGAAGAAGAAAGAAAAGCAGGTAACTACTGGGCAGTGGCTAGATGTTACCTTTCTTTCCAGAGATGGTAGTTGGAAGGCACCTGAGTAGGACGCCACTTTTCTATTCACACAGATTACAGTTGATAAGAACGGGGCTCAGTGATGCATTTTTGCCTCACAAGTCCAAGATGTTACCTGGCACAGAGATGGACTGACCCCAGTGCTAGGAGGACAACATTGGGCAGACCCTGCTGTTAAATGAGAACACAGTCTATAAGCTGGACTAAAAAAAGGTTTTGTTTCTAATCAAGTCACATTAATTTATTTGTCATGTAAAATACATGAAATCCACTGTTTTCATTCCAAATAGACGATACCAAACTTTCTAAAATAATGTTTCTGAAGCAAACTCAAAGTCCATAAGGTGGAAGAGCTCAGCCATACAATGCACTGTTTACCAGCCTCTGGATTCGCCATGTGTTACTCGTCCGTGGAAGATTTCTTCACTGGGCCTTTTTTATTGCACACATTTTTGAAATCCAAGTTTCTCTGAAACGAGTTTAAGTTGATATCTAGTCTGACTAAATGACTTTATTTGGCACAAAATAGAAGAGTTGATGGCAGTTCACGTCAAGTGCGTTGGAGCAGTATCTACTAAGTAATCAAATGTAGCACGGATGCACAGTGAAGCGCGACAGATTCTTCCAGGTCTCGAAGACGAAAATCGCAGTCTGTGATTCCTTTGTGTTTAAGACATCCAGACTGGGGACTGTATAATCCTACCAGTTTTCACAGAGTCCAACCGTACAAACATGGCATATACAGCAGAGAACAATCAGTTCTAGATTTCACTTGTAGAAATTTAAAAATTATAATAAAATACCACAGAGCTACATTTAGTTTAAAACATACAAAGACACAAATTACATTATAAAAACTCTTTGTGTGGCTTATTTTACCTCAATTACTACTAAAAAATTACACTTACCAAGGATCTGGGTTACAAAGTAAGAATTTGCCTGTGCAGGTAAACATTAATGGAATTGTACCATTTTCCAGACTCTCTTTTTCCATGATTAAATGTATTTCCTTCCGTTTAAAGTGAGGCCTTTCCTGGGGCACCTGGGTGCCTCAGTCGTGTAAGCAACTGCCTTCAGCTCAGTTCATGATCCCAGGGTCCTGGGATCGAGCCCCACATCGGGCTCCCTGCTCAGCGGGGAGTCTGCTTCTCCCTCTGACCCTCTTCCCTCTTGGGCTCTCTCTCATTCTCTCTCTCAAACAAATAAAATCTTTATAAAAAAAAAAGCTTTATTAAAGAAATTTTGGTTTTCTTATAAGGGAGACTGCACTTTATGAGTTCCAGAGTTGTGACAATATGCTAATAGAGACAAATACTAAAACAAGTCCGTTTTTCTCCAGAAAACAACTATATGTAGGATCTGGAAAGAAGGGAAAATTCTAAGCCGATCCAAGAAGAAAATGTCTGTTTAGTATTTGCCTAATACATTGATTAAGGTGCATGTAGCATTTCCTGTTTGAAGAGCTTGGTAATCATTATGCAAACTGTATTATATGGTTAAGATTATAGCTCCATTTAGGGTGCCTGGGTGACTCAGTTGGTTAAGCAACTGCCTTCGGCTCAGGTCATGATCCTGGAGTCCCGGGATCGAGTCCTGCATCAGGCTCCCTGCTCGGCGAGGGGCCTGCTTCTCCCTCTAACCCTCCCCCCTCTCATGTACTCTCTCTCTCATTCTCACTCTCTCAAAATAAATAAATCTTTAAAAAAAAAGATTATAGCTCCATTTTGCAGATGACATGGTCAAAACTAAAGGGTTTAGCTGGAAGAAACTTTTTTTATCCAAAATAGATTTTCTTAGTAAGGAATCACGTCTTAAAAAAACACACTCAGGGCACAGCATTCATTAATCATGTAACAGTTATTTTATTTTATTTTTAAGATTTTATTTATTTGACAGAGAGAGACACAGCGAGAGCAAGAACACAAGCAGGGGGAGTGGGAGAGGGAGAAGCAGGCTTCCCAAGGAGCAGGGAGCCCGATGTGGGGCTCGATCCCAGGACCCTGGGATCATGACCTGAGCTGAAGGCAGATGCTTAACGACTGAGCCACCCAGGCACCCCAACAGTTATTTTATTTTATTTTTTAAAGATTTTATTTGAGAGGGAGAGAATGAGAGAGAGAGAGAGAGAGAGAGAGAGAGAGAGAGAGCATGAGAGGGGGGAGGGCCAGAGGGAGAAGCAGACTCCCCGCTGAGCAGGGAGCCCGATGCGGGACTCGATCCTGGGACTCCAGGATCATGACCTGAGCCGAAGGCAGTTGCTTAACCAACTGAGCCACCTAGGCACCCCCCTCCCATAGTTATTTTAAAAATATGTCTGTTGAATGAATGAAAAAAAATTAAAGTGGGGTCAGTCCCCACACCACTATTCACCGGCTCTCTGGAACCCACCTCTTGGGACTTTTTTTTCTATAAAATGGAGTTAACATTTTTCCACTTCCTAAAACAGAGAATACTATGAAGACTAAGGAAAGGGGTGCCTGGGTGGCTCAGTTGGTTAAGCATCTGCCTTTGGCTCAGGTCATGATCCCAGGGTGCTGGGACTGAGCTCCACATCGGGCTCCCTGCTCAGTGTGGAGTCTGCTAGTCCCTCACCCACTGACCCTCCCTCCACTTGTGCTCCCTCTCCCTCTCAAAGAAATAAAATCTTTTTTTAAAATTTTTTCCAAGATTTTATTTATTTGACAGAGATAGACAGCCAGAGAGAGAACACAAGCAGGTGGAGCGGGAGAGGGAGAAGCAGGCATCCTACAGAGCCCGATGTGGGGCTCGATCCCAGGACCCTGGGATCATGACCTGAGCTGAAGGCAGATGCTTAACCATCTGAGCCACCCAGGCGCCCCTCAAAGAAATAAAATCTTAAAAAAAAAAAAAGACTAAAGAAAGAACATTTGCTTTGAACTTCTAATATCAAAAGGAACTATATGAATGAGAATAAAAATACAGTTAACCATTACATTCTTAACACCCAACAAATGGAGATATATTTCAGCTTTAAATTAATGTTGTCTGCCATGGCTAATCAGTCACAGCAAACTCTTAACAATTTCTTCAGACTCTGCCCTGCACTGCTGCCCTACCCCTCAACTCATATGCACCCTCAATCCACCCTTTAGCTACACATTTCTTGTGTCAAGGACTAACGACTGGGCAGGAAGGAAAGAACAGAGAAGAAAGAAATAAAAAAACTGTTATCCTAATGAGAAAAATAAACTTTTACTTGAAGAAGGCTAGGGAATATATCCTGAATAGCCTAAAATATGAAGTCAATGTTAATATTTGTGTTCATCCTATGAGAAGACATCTTTGAGGGTAAATTTGAATAACTGCTTGAATGACTTAAGACTAGATGAAGTTCTGACCCCAAAGAGCAACACATTTGTTTTTAACCACTCCCAATACAATTGATCCTATATCAATAGCTAGTTAGATTTCATTCTCAACACATTTCAATCTTGACCCCAGGAAGCTTTAGTCATTTGTCTGAGATGGAAACTCAACTGCCTTAGACAATGCCCAGTGGTTTCTTCATTCAGCCTTCAAGAAAAACTGATTTCAAATTCACCTACCTCACTGTTTACCCACAGAAAACCTTTTGTGCCCTCAGAATGAGCTAGATTAGTCTTTGAGCTCCCTTCTGACTGAACCCTGACACTGTCAGGAGATGTCCTCAGAAGGATGCCATCATAAAGGAGCTCAGGGTTTCTGTATACACTTAATTTCTAAGCCTCACAAACCAGATCTACTAACATGTCTGTGAGGCTTTGGACAGGGCAGCATACAAAAAAGATGGGGTTGTTTCAAAGCCTCCCTCTTTTGTCATTCTGGACTAATTTTTGAAATTTAAACATTTCAGAAACAATTTAGGTCTATCCTTTGTGGTGAAGTTTGACCAGCTATCCCCCAGCTACAGAAAGAAGGAGAATCTATCATTTAGTCCATCAGTTTTAATTTTTCTGATGTTATAGCTTTGTAAGTTTCACTGCTATAAAAGGGAGCTAAGTTTATTCACAAAGGGAAAGCTATCATGGATTTTAGACATAGTTTTAGGGCATTGACTGTATCTACTCTGGATATGGATCAGAAAAAAAATGAAAACTGTGTCATTGAAGAATTACTTTGTCAAGTGACACTTAGAAAATCCACATCAACTCGGGCAGCCTAGAAAATCCTCTGACACGGAGAGTAGAAAGATAATTTCTATTTTATCATTTTCCTCTTTAAAAACTGATGTAAACCTCTGGTCATAAAAAAAATCTCAAATTGTTCTTATGGTCTTTAAGAAAATGCTCTAGGTGAAGGTAACAACACTGGTGTTGGGTGTTGGTCAGTGTAGCTCTATCTGAGTCTGTCTCTACGTTTATCTGTCTGTATGTATCTTCCTATGTCTCTCCATAGGATTTTGTTTTAATGTCTGAATCTTCTCCCTTTCTCTATTTTCACTAGAATATTTTTTATTAAAAATAAGATATGCTCAATGTCAAAAAATAAAAGCCAAGTAAGGTGCTGCAGAGCTAATAAGTAAAAAGTGGTTTTAAAACTACTTATGATTTATTATAGCTATGTCCTAAAACAAAACTTACATAGATTAAAACATATAGTTATGCAGTAGAATAACTTTAACTTCCTATATGGCAGAAAATATTTTTAAATAGTCTTCATAGGCGCATATTCGTGTGAAAAATTAGCCAAAAGTGATAGCCTAGAATGTTCTTTAAAAAATATTTCATTTACTTCAATTTGGTTTTACTGATTCTACAACTTAGAAATTCTATAAATATTTACTCTAAACTCCATAGTTCCTACATTGATTTCTGATTTCTAAATTGTGATTTATGCATGTTCATAGCTCTACTTGAAGGTTACATTTTAATAGCCATATGTATAATATATCTTACAATAAGAAGACCTCATATATACAACCTTAAAACTGTGAATCAATGGTAAAGAAAAAGAGTTAATAGAAGTGGAGGAGGAAAATAATTTATGAATACAAATTCATGTGAATTTTCTTTTTCAGCATGGGTATAAAAATCATGAAGGAGAAACTGCTACTCCACAAGGATAGAGTCTGCATTTTCTTGTGTGAGCTCTGACTCTAAGGCACAAGGTGAATCTAACTGCTCTTGTGACAAGCGAGAACTTTTCAGGGGGACATCAGACCAACTGTCACAATATGGCTGAAATCTCTGGGCTAACGCATTGCCGAACCTTTGGCATCGGTTATATCTGTAAGATTTACCTTTGTGTGTATACATGTGTTCTAGCAATTGGCTCTTTCGGAGAAATTTATGACCACAGATGGAACAGCTGATTTTTCTTTTCCTTGAGAAAGAAAAATTACAGTTTAATTCTACTGGCTCTGTGTCTTTGGAGATTAAAGCCACTTGACTGATCTGCAGAGGCTCTGTGGCACCCTGGTTTGAGTGGTCACGCTGCTGCTCATTCTCCGTGACAATGAAGGAGCTGAGCCTGCGGCATTCAAGGGCCTCACTATTTTCATTAAGTGGATGTACTTCACCAAGGTCATTGCTTTCCAGAATGGAAGCAGGGACACCGAATGGGAGGGATCCAGACACATGGGTATGGAGATGTTGCCGTAGGTTACTACGGGAATCAAAACGTTCCCCACAGTAATGGCACAAGTGTGTTTTGATGCTGCTTTCCGTGAAAGTGGGGCCTGTCGCCTCGGATGAGGGTGAGGGGTGGCTCTGGGCAGACTCTGGGTCACATGTCTCCTGCTTGATGGACACTGGGGGCTCCTGGCGCCCCTCCAAGGCCTGGGCAGCAGGACGGGTCCTCTGCTGCTCTGTGGTGCCGTCATCCAGCCCGATGGCCAGAGAGAGCTGCAGCTGGCGGTGGTCACCCTGGACAGCAGCTCTGTTGCCATTGTTACTGGCAGGAGCTTCCTTGACCTCCAGCCCGGGCTTGACAGCTGTTTTTTGGGTCGTTGAGATCTGAATGCCATACAAATTTGAAGACTGCACAGTCTCTGGTGAGAACGCTTGATTCATTTCAGTCGCAATGTGAGAAAGGTAGTCGGCGTGAAGAAATCGAATCCCTTCCTCCAAACGACTGTGATCCACAATCTGTTTTGGCCCTTTCCCCGTGTACATAATGTGCAACAAATAGCTGAATATGTCAGGCTGGATGTCAGTTGGTTGTATTTTTATGCATTCACTGTTAAAAACAAACAAACAAAAAAACAGGCCCACACAAGATAAAATGACTAGTTGGCCTTTTGGTTAGCACTATACAGTCTTAGGCTAATGCAATTTTTTTCCTAAAAAGTTCAGACTTAGCCATCTGCCTTGATGAACTATATCAACAGAAAATTAAACATTCACAGTACACCAGCTTTATGGCCCAGCAACAAGTCTTCATGTATTCAACCTACCGCCTAAAGTTGGGAAACACACACAGATATTCTGATTAGGTGAACAATTAGTGACTCCTAAGTGGTAGGCACTATACTAGGTGCCAAGGATGAAAAACATGATGAATAAAACAGATACCTTCCTCTTAAGGAACTTAACAGTCTTTTGAATACACAACCAAAAGAACTGAAAACATGGACCCAACAGACACCTGTATGCCAATGTTCATCACAGCATTACTCACATTAGCCAAAAGGTGGAAACAACCCAAGTGTCCATCAACAGATGAATGGATAAGCGAAATGTGGCATATACATACAATGGCATATTATTCAGCCAAAGAAAGGAATGAAGTTCTGAATGATGTGACAACATGGGTGAACCTGGAAAACGTTTGGTAAGTGAAATAAGCCAGACTCAAAAGGACAAATTTTGTATGGTGCCACTTATAATAGGCAAATTCATGGAGACAGAAAGATTAGAGTTAACCAGGAGCTTGGGGTCGGGTCGGGGAGATGAGGAGTTATTGCTTAATGGGTACAGAGTTGATGTTTAGGGTGATGCAAAGTTTTGGAAATGGTAAGTGGTGATGGTTGCACAACATTGTGAGTGTACCTAATGCCAGTGAATTGTATGATTAAAATGGTCAACATGGCCAATTTTATGTTGTATATATTTTACCAAAATAAAAAATATTTAAAATTTTAAAAGGATCTATTAAAATTGGTAATATTTAGAATTTAAATTATACTAATCTTATTTTGGCTTCCAAACTATAGTAATATATCTACTCTTCAAATCACAAATGAATATAGGTATAACTTTGAAAAACTTAAAAATAACCCCAAGCTCAATTTTTAAATATGAATCTATGATTCAGATAATAGAAATAACAGCATAACAAGAAATCAGCAAACACCCTGCAAAATTAGGATAAAGAGAACGTGAGGGAAGTGTTGGATGTCAGGGAACAATGGCACCAATGGACTTACCTTCCCTGAAGCAAAAATTCCTGTCTGCTTCAGAATGCACAGGGTATCAGATGCTGGCAATCCATTTCTTTAGTCCCCTTATCTCAGGATTCCCTCTTGGGTTTCAATCTTAGCTCTCACCCACCCACTTCCAGGGTCTGTGGCAGGGGTTTTTTATATCAGCACAGAGCTGTTAACTGAGGATTTTTAGTTGCTCAACAGAGATACCACGTAGCAGGCCTGACACCTTTGTATCTCTTGGATTTAGTTTAGCATGGTGCCTGGCACACAACAGGTGCTTTGGGAGCTGAACCAACTCACAGCTCTTAGACGAGACTGATGTGAAGGCACTGTTCCTAATCTAGTTTCTACATTGACACCACCCATGACATATCCCCCACTCCAACCTCCTCCCCACTTTGTGCCCTGCATTCCAACCATTCTGGTCTACTCTGTTTCCTGAATGTACTAGCCTGTTTCATATCTGCCTATGTTTTCATGCAATTTTTCCCTCTGCCTGCAATGTACCTTCTTGCATTCCTTTACAATATCCAAAAAACTCCTCCTGATCCTTCAAGATCCAGGGCTTCTGTAAAGCCTATTCCAACCTCCTCAAAATAGGGCTGCTGACACTCCACTCTGCCTTGTACAACACTTCTGTTATAGACGTATCACATTAGTTATTGATAACAGTAGCTGACAGGGCAAAGCTGTTCTAAGCATTTTAATATTATTAATCCATTTAATCTTCTCAACACCATGGGGTGAGAATACATACTATGCCAGTGTTTTACAGAGAAGGAAACTGAGGCACAGACAGATCAATTACACCACAATTTTTTTCTTTACATGTGTTCTCTATTAAACTATGAACTAACTCCTTGAGGACAGGGAGCATTACTAGCCTGTTACTGGGGTCTAGTACAGTGCTTACATGTAAGTACCCAACAAATATTTAAATGAGTGAACAGGTAAATGAATATGTGTGATTGAGGCTAAGACTACTAAGTATTTCATGCAAGGTCATTTAAAAAAACAGAGAGAAGTCTATCTCCTTCAACCTAGGATGGATTAAAGCTATTCTTTAAGAGCTCAGAATCTGAATACGACTTTCCTGCCCACTCCCTACATACCCATCATGTTGGGATAATCCACATTCAAAAAATCAAAACACTTGAGAAAAAGTATTTGAAACAAATGTCTTCTGAACTGTAATATGGAATATAAGGTGTGTAGAATTATGACATTATACTCTTGCTATGAAAGTGTTATAGAATAGATATCAACAACTCAGTGAGTCAGAACATAGATCGTTAAAAGCACAGATCCGCATTTGAGGATAATTTAATAGCTATATAATCCCAAATGGGCCAGTTACTTGACTCAGTCTCAGTTTCCTTTTCTCTAAAATAGTATGGAGAATAGAATGTACATTAGGTAAATACTTAGTGCTTGGGTATGGGCTAAGCCTTCAGTAACTTTTAGCTATTACTGTTTTCATTTTTACCTTCCACCATGGATCCTACACACTGAGATGAATTACTGGATGTGTTAAAAAAATATATGTGTATGTATATATATATTTCTTAAGGTGACCCCATAACAAAGAATCCCGCAAATGATGTTATAATAAGGCTTAGCTATATCACAACATTAAAAACTCTTCTGATTTACAAAAGCACATCCTTACCTTGTTTGGTGAATAAATATCATCTTGAAATAGTTAGAAAAAGCAGCAAGCACTGCTCTGTGGGCTTTGAAGTAAACATCTCCAATGGCAACTGTGCAATCACACAGAAAACCAAATTCTCGCTGCATGTTCAGCTGCTGCAGAAGGACAAGGCTATGGCTAGCTGTGTCCATTGTGGCTCTGAGAAAAAGGACAATTTTTTTTTTTTTTTTTACAAAATTAGCTACAGTTCACACAAACCTACAGAGTACAAGGAGGCCTAAATTTAAATGAGATTACTTAATAGTTTTTAATACTGTTAATTTCACCCCAAACTTAGCTAACATTAAATCCCCTCACTAAAACTGCAAAATATGGTCTTTTTTCATCTAAGAAGGTAGCTTGGTATGAGTAACACAGAAGCAAAAGGAAGGCTTTTTTTTATCTATGTGGCTGTGCTTCTAGTCATACTGCCCCTTCCTCAGAGCTGCAGGAGTTAAGTTATGTGAAAAGCACCTTGTAATGGAAACTGCTATTCAAGTGTTAGCTGTAACTGTCCATATTGCTGTCCTGGCCGGGCTAGAGCTGTCAGTGCTCTGTAGGGATCCCTGTGAGCTCAGGGGACACTGGCCCTCTAACTATCATACAGTATGTTTGGGAAACATGATCAGTCACAGTATGTGCAGGAGCCCTTAAAATAGATATCAAGCCACATCCCCTGATTTACATGGGGCCCGGGAACCTAATGGAAAGAGCCTAACCCCTGATATTAACTGGTTTCAGACACATACAAGCATGGAGGCTCCTGAAGGAACAATACAGAATGGGACCACTGGTCTTGGGAAAAGTCACGCATGAGGAAAAACATGCATAAGAATTGTGGCAGGAAGTCTAGTGTGAGCAGCAAGGGATTCAAGAGTGCCAGAGTTCCAGGCAGACTGGAGGCTCTGCTTCACCCCGACTGTGTAGACAGACCCAGTGCCTTAAGAAGGCAGCTGTGGTATAAAGGGCATCACTGGCCAGCTGGGAGAACCTACTTTAAAAGATCAGTTTCTGAAGAAGAGAATGAAGTTTCCTCACTAGCCAGAGGCCAAAGTCTAAGGAGGTCAGTGATGAGAGTGTGGAGTTAGCTGTCTGGAGACTGGCCACAGCTTGGGCAGCAGACAGCTGAGTGATCAATAATATAATAAAACTGGCTAACATTTACAGTGCTTCCTGTGTGTCAGGCACTTTTCACTCATTTAGTTCTCAATACGACTATACAAGAAAGGGAATATTCAATGCATCTACAGATGAAGAAACTGAATCAGTACCAAGAGTTAATTTACTCAAGTCACACTGCTAATAAGTGGCAGAGCAGGGGATTCAAACCTGGACACTGGGCTCCAGAATCCAAATGTCTTCCCTTTCCACCTCCCAGAGAGAACATGACCCACAAACTGGAGATGCCTAGGGAATGGTCAGGTTATACATCAAGATATCTCGGGAAGCCTCAAGAATGTTTGGAAAGGGGAACTAGGGAAAAACCCAGATTTCCTGCTGCTTAATTTGCTTACACAAATCTGATACAGAAACAAATACTTATTAATGGATAAAATCTAGGCTATAACTGGTAAACAAAAAGGTAATTATTACTGATACAAAGTTAAATCTATTTTTATTAAAATTACATATTTAATGCACTGATATGAAATAATCTCTAAGATATATTAAGTAAAAAAAAGCAAAGCATAAAATTGTAAAGGGAAGACTACTATTTATGCAAAAGGGGGTAGTTATTTTAAAGGTGGGGGAGAAATTTATACAGAAATATATTCTTGTTTATGTACACATCTCTGGAAAGATTCAAAGAAATGAGTGAAATGTTTGCTTCTGGGAGGGAAACAAGGGAGCAGAGTGGGGGAATTGTACTGTTTAAACTTAAATTCTTTTTTTTTCCTTGAGAGAGAGAACAAGCTCAAGTGAGCTGGGGGTGGGGAGCAGAGGGAGATCTTAAGCAGACTCTGTGCTGAGCGTGGAGCCTGATGTGGAGCTCCATCTCAGGACCCTGAGATCATGACCTGGGTAGAAATTGAGTCAGACACTTAACCAACTGAGCCACCCAGGCACCCTGAACTTAAATCTTATTGAAGTTAACATCATAAGTACATTCCAACATGTATTCCTTTTCCCCTCATTTTTAAAAATCATGAAGGGGGCGCCTGGGTGGCTCAGTTGTTGAGTATCTACCTTCAGCTCAGGTCATGATCCCAGGGTCCTGGGATCAAGCCCCGCAAAGGGCTCCCTGCTCGGCAGGAAGCCTGCTTCTCCCTCTCCTGCTCACCCTGCTTGTGTTCCCTCTCTTGCTGTGCCTCTGTGTCAAATAAGTAAAGTAAATATTTAAAAAAATTATGAAGTATTTCAGATAGACAAATAGGTACAGAGATCAATGTGACAAACATGCAGCCAGCCAGCCACCCCTGAGCACATAAGGTAAACATTACAAATGTGGTAGAGACCCCCTACCCTCTCTCCCTCATTTTAACTACCCATTGCCTTGCCTCCAAAGGTAATCATCATCCAGACTTTGGTGTTTTTGACTGGTAATATCATCATGTTCCTACTGTATCTGTATGTATCCCTTCAGAAGGTATGGTATTATTTTGCATGTTTTAAAATTTTATATAAATAATATTGTATTTTAAGAATCCTGCAACTTGCTGCTTTTAATTCTATTCATATATTACTTTTAAAAATTATACTTACTCAAACATTAAGTTTCTCCCAAACCTCCCCCAATTAAAAAATAAATAAAAACAAAACTCTTACTCCTTACCATCTCATTTTAAAAGCCTTTAAGCAGTAATGAAATGAGGGAACAAAATAACAGAACCTACAGAGACCTGAGCGTAAACCAAACTCCAAATTGTGAGTATTGTTCCAAAAAGCCATTTAACTAAAAGTCACTATTTATTGTATTTGCTGCCTTACCTGGATTCTCAAACACTACGAATTTATTACAGAGAGATTTAAAAACCAAAATAAAACTGTATGCTGGAGATTTCACCATGTGAAAAACATGTGCCTTAGATTCAATGAAATGGTTCAAACTGAAGTAGTTTAAACTAGCTTGACAAATTGTTAAAAAAAACCCAAAAACCTCAGATCATAAACATTTTCACCAGATCTATCTATATACATATATACACATATATACACACACACACATATATATATATAGTGCATTAGTGTAATGAACTACTGAACCACATGGAAATGAGAAAGGGCACACTAAAAAGCCACATATACAAAAATCTTGTGGTTAATGGTCTATGAGTAACAGTTTAATTCTTCGCTTACTGAACATTTTTTGAAGAGAAACTTAATAAAGAAAAAATTATTTGAAGGCATGCATTATACAAGGCCTAGGGACGGAAGAAAAATACTTACATGCTGCAACCAAGAAGACTGCAGGCTAACATGCACCCCAATGTTTACAGCAGCAATGTCCACAATTGCCAAAACATGGAAAGAGCCCAGATGTCCACCAACAGATAAATGGATAAGAAGATATGGTATATATACAATGGAATACTACTCAGCTATTGAAAAGAATGGAATCTTGCCATTTGCAATGATGTGGCTAGAGCTAGAGGGTATTATACTAAGTGAAATAAGTCAATCAGAGAAAGACAAATACCATATGATCTCACTCATATGTGGAATTTAAGAAACAAAACAGATGGACATAGGGGAAGGGAAGGAAAAATAAAATAAGAGGAAAATGGAGAGGGAGGCAAACCATAAGAAATTCTTAACTATGGGGAACAAACTGAGGGTTGCTGGAGGAGGGGACGGGTAAAAGGGTGATGGGCATTAAGGAGGGCACTTGAAGTAATGAGCACTGGGTGTTATATGCAACTGATGACACATTGAATTCTGCCTCTGACACTAATAATATAGTATATGTTAATTAAATTGAATTTAAATAAAAAATTTAAAAAAGAAGATTGCAGGCTAATAGGGGAGACAAAACATAAAACATGGTAATTATGATATAAAGTAAAAGTGGCAAATGTCATAAGAGCATTTCAGAGAACATGCTATGAAGGGGAGATCAACATCAGGCAACCCAATGAAAAATAAACCACTTGAACTGGATTTAGATGAACAGGCAGAAGGTGAACATAGCATTCCAGGCAGGAAAAAATAGAATGAATAAAATTACAGGGAGGAGTGTGAATATATAGGTAACTGAAGAACTCAGTTTGGCATAGAAAAACCAAAAGTAAGTGGGTAGTAAGAGATGTGGTCAGCTCACACAGTACCGAATGTAAAACTGAAAGGTACTCCACTTGTGTTTGAAATGAATGGTGTTAAGATGTTTTTGCAGGACCCCTCCTGCAAAACAGCATAGTAGTTAAAGCTTGGACTCTGGAATTAGCTTGGATTAAAATTCCAATTCTGTCATTTAGCTGTGTGATCTCAAGAAGATGCTTAACTCTCTGGTCCTCGGTTTTACTTGTAAAATATGGATAATTACAGTATCTACCTCACAGGTTGATACATAGATTTAATAAGATAATGCACATAAGCACATAGAAATAGTAAGGCCCACAGTAAGTGTTCAGTAAATACCAATTACCATCATGATCATCACCATCAGGCCTTTGAGTCAAGATTGCTCTAGTAGCAACACATAAAAAAGATTAGCAAGGGAAAGGTATGGAGAAATAAAGACCAGCAAGAAGTCCACTGCAATATCCAAGTAATGGCAGTGGGAATGAAGGAATACAAGAGATACACCAGACATAGAACTGACACAACTTGGCAGCCAGACTGGATGTGGTCAGCCACAGGGAAGATAAAGTCAAAGGCAAGTCTCAGAAATCCAGCTTGGATAACTGGAAGAATTCATTCACCCCTTCAGGTCATATTTTCAGAGTAACTGTCATGTGTTAGGTATCAATATAAAGACAGGGTCCCAGAATGCCAGAGAAGAGGCATAGAAACTGGCTTCATAAAAGAGAAGTTTCATTTTGGACACAGTGAGTTCAAGGTGTTCACTCCAGAACATCTGAGTAGAAATGTTCAGTGATCAATGGAGACATTATGTAGGATTGGGACTCTAGAGATCAGGGCTAGACAGGGAGAGGAGGTCCTCTGTAATTACACAGCTGAAGCCACCAGGAGTGGGTGGGACTATTGAGTAAAATAAGAGGGGAAAAAAAGCTAAGGATGAATCCCCAAACAACACAAAAAAGATACAACAAGAAGAGGAGTAATAAGGAAACATATCAACATTGAGTGGGGATTGGGGGTGGTGAAGGAAAGGCAAGAACCTGGGTGGGGAGTCTCCACCAATGGTGGAAAGTACTGCAGAGAAACATGGGGATGAGGCCTATTACAAATACCCCAAGTGTGACTAAGAGATTTCTAGTGACCTCTGACAATAGTCTGCGAAAGCAGCAAGAGCAAAATCTCTCACTGCAAGGGAATGTTAGATAGCAAAGGCCATAAAGGGTAGGTACAGATAGGACATTGATGATGGGCAGCTTCAGCTCAGAGACTTTCAGGCTGAAGAGGGGTGGAGTCTCCAGAAGCCAGAAGGAACACAAGCAAAAGTCTAAGGGTAGCAGTCAGCCATGGAGAAGAGAGGGATTTCTTTCTGACAGTGGCAAGGAGATGGCTGAGGTGAGGAGAGAATCTCAAAGTACTCTGTAGATGGCTTCCATTCACACACTATGAAGGCAGTCCATATGCAGAGGGAAGAGCTGAGTTTAGATCTTGAAGGAAACCAAGAAGGGCGCCTGGGTGGCTCAGTCCGTTAAGCATCTGCGTTTGGCTTGGGTCATGATCCCAGAGTCCTGGGATCGAGCCCCGCATCGGGCTCCCTGCTCGGCGGGAGGCCTGCCTCTCCCTTTCCCACTGCTTGTGTTCCCTCTCTCGCTGTGTCTTTCTCTGTCAAATAAATAAATAAAATCTTAAAAAAAAAAAAGAAACAAACCTAGAGTAACAATCCCTGAGGCTAATATATAGTGATGAAGTTTATATAGAACTTTCACAAAAAATAATTTTTCTGTTTCAGGGGTGCCTGAGTGGCTCAGTCAGTTGAGTGTCTGGCTCTTGGTTTCCGCTCGGATTGTGATCTCAGGGTCATGGGATCAAGCCCCATGTCGGGCTCCACACTCCATGTGGAGTCTGCTTGGGATTCTCCCTCTAAAATAGATAAATGAAATCTTAAAAAAAAAAAAATAAAGACATAAAAAGATTTAAAAAATTTGTTCCAGATGAAATACTTTCTATTAAGCTACAAGTTCATGGACTGTCATTTTTGTTAAACTCAGTCACTGAATTTTTAATTTCAGATATATTTCCAGGTCTAAAATTTTCATCTCATTCCTTTTTAGTTTCTATTTCTCTGCTGAGATTTCCTATTTGTTGACACATTACCACTTTATTCTGCTTTACATTCTTGAGCATAATTATAATAGCCGCTTTAAGTCTTCTCTGCCAAACCCAAACTCTGGGTCATTTTGGAGTGAATCTCCATTAATTAGGGTGATAGTTTCCTGTTTCATTTTGGACAATATCCTAGACATTGTGATTACTGTGGTAAAGGCTCTAGATTCTATAATATTCTTCCAAAAGTACTGATGTTTTTGTTTTGTTGTTACAATTAACTTGGCTGGACTTAAACTCCAAAATCTGCCTCCCTTTTG